AAGCATTACATATTCTAACTAAGAATAATGTTAATCTTCTTTTCAATATTAATATTTCTCAAGATAAACTACAATTAAAAGAATGGCTAAACCAAGCTCTTTTAATATAAATACTTTTAAAAAAATATATAATATTTAAGAAAATTAAATCTAAAAAAATAAATAAATAAAAAACTAAAAAATAAAATAAATTAATAATAATTATATAGAAACAAAAAATAAAAAAAAATAAATTAATAAAAATATTAATATATACTTCTTAATTTATACTTACTCTCTAAAAGAGGTACCGTTAGTCCTCTTAAATTAAACAGGCTCTGACAGTAGGGTAATTACTGTCAATCAATAAATTCTGGCTATCCACAAAAGCCACCATCATCCCTCTTTAATTAAATGAGCCCTGACTGTAGGGTAAATCACTTTCAATCAGTGGATGCAAATTTACGGCATTAGAGACGCCCTCTTCTGGGTGGTATTTAATTGTGTGTTTCCACAGTGAAAGATAAGATAAGGGGCCCCCACATAAATTTTTTCAGGATGGTACAAAACATTATATTCTTAAAATAATAATATTTTTGTTTAAAATTTTTTGTAAGTTTTTTAAAGATTTTTATTATAATTATATATGCGATATATATAATATAGTGTAATATAAGTCAGTCGATAAATATTCAAATCATGATTCACTCGTTCTCATTCTAAAAGTAAAATATAACTATAGCCAAAATAGATAATTCAGGTTAAATGGGCACTTTCGTCTAGGTTTTTGTGAAAATATTGCTGATATCTGCAATTTTTTTTGTCCAAGATTCGGCGATGGATACTAACCATGCATAATGATGACAATTTCTCATCACGCATTGATATATAAGATAATTTTTAACACGGTTATATATTTGATCCGTCAAATATGGTCAATTTCTAATAAATGTTTTTTAAGACAATATTAACATTTATTTTATATTATAATAAAATATATTTGTAATATTAATTTTATAATATTTTTTAAATTCATTGTCATTCTATAATTAATGTTTCCGCTCTCCGAGTCTTGTTCTAATATTGTCATTTTCTTTAAGATTTTTAACCTTTCAATACTCTGGTGGGGTATATGAAACCCCAGGCATGCTAGAAATGATATTACATAAAAACGGTTAAATATTATGTGGATTCTTCAGTAGCTTCATCAAATATATCTTAGAATCTATATTTCAAATTTCATATATTTCGGTTGAGTAGTTTTTAAGATATAAGCATTTTGTGACTGATTGGGGTTTGTGAGACCCCACCAGAGTAAATTTGTAATTTTTTAAGAATTAAAAAATTTTTAAATTTATAAATATATACTATAAAATTTATTAAAACAAAATTTAAATATCTTTTATTTTGATTGAGATATATGAAAAAGTAAACTTAAACATTTTTTTTGGTGGGGTTATTTTATTCTTATTTTCACCATCTGGCTCATTTCTCAAATTATTTTTAATGGAATTATTTATCATATCTTTTCTCTGTAAAATTAGTTAAAAATAAGGTGACTCAATTATGGAAATCTGATGGGTTTGGAATTGAGATATTTTGAGCAACAATGACACTCCAAAAATTTAGAATTTTAATTCATACAATAAGATTTGATGACAAATTAACAAGAGAAGAGAGAAAAATGATAGACAAAGCAACTCACATTAGAAATATTTTTCAAGAATTTGTTGATAATTGCTACAGATCTTATACAATATCAGAATATGCAACCCTAGATGAAATGCTTCCAGCATTTCATGGTAAATACCCATTCAGGCAATACATGCCAAATAAACCATCAAAATATGGCATAAAACTATACTCCTTATAAAAAAACAAAATATTTTTGTCAAATTTGTAAAATAAATTTATGTTTTAGAACACATTAATATTTTATGTAATAAATGTTTTGCATGTCAAATTTAGCATATTTCAATGTTCTATATTTTTTATATATTAGATTAGTGTAATTTTTTTTTCAAATTGAAGAATAAAGATCCATATTATGAATTACCATGATTATATGATGGATAAGTTATTTTTTAATTTTATATTTTAAATTTAAAAAAGTAAGCTTTTTTAAAAAAATTTTGACACAAATTATAATTATCCTCATCATCTTTAATCTAGGCTTAAGAAATAAATATATTTAAATTTTATCAAGCTTAAGGTTAGATCTATCTTATATCCAAATATCAAATGAAAATAATGAATATAACTAGATATACATTTGAAATTGGGTCTATTAAACCCCACCCGAGTACTAACGTCATTTTTTACACCGGAGTATTGAAGGGTTAATCAATATCTGTTGTCGAGGTCTTCAATCCATTTCTGTTTTTCATATGAATATTAACCCAAATCGACCAATTTCTTGCTGAATAATAAGCGAATAGGAATTATTTATGCCACTTCTTTTAATGCGCAAGTGGGCAAAATCCATTCTACTAACTTGGGGCCGTAATCTGATTATTTCTTATGGAAGTTACTACTTTCCACATATTTCCATTGATAACACTTGAAATATTTTGATCATCACCTTGTAAAATGCCTAATTCTTGTTAAATGATAAACTCACTACACTACTATAAATTCCGCATGTATTTATATCGTTTTTTATTTTTTCAAATAACCAGGTCAAATACTCTTTAGGTCAATTGATTGAATTTGACAAGTCAATTGACAGACAAGGTTTATGAGTATGAAATATTTCACATATGGAATCTTCCTGTTTATCATCGTTTATATTCTTTTCATAACATTCTTTAACTTTATTTTTTGCTACTTTTTTAGATTGATAAAAGTTAATAATTATAAAAATATGATAACAAAATTAATCCAATATTATAAATTTTATCAAATCATATAACCTTTTTGTTTTTGAGTTTCACTTATTTCATATTTTGTAAAACTTATCATTTTTACCCTTTTTTCAATATTATTTCCTGTTTTATATAGAATGAAATAATAACATTATTAATTATATTAATACTATTTTTTTTACCTGTTTGTTTAAGTTTGATTTAGTATTTCTGATTCTGACTGAAAGGAATTCACAATTTTTATTTTTAATAAAATATTACTAAATTAAATACGATAAGAAGTAATTCAATATTTTTAAGGTTAATAATACATTCTTTAGTCTGATTTTGTATGAGAATAATTAATTTTGATAAGTTTTGTTTTGTTACATTTCTTAAAATATAAAAGTTAAATTCTTAAATATAAGTTTTACTATATTTAACAATTTGAGTTTCAGAAATATCATTTTTTTCCCATAAACTAACTAATCCATAAGATAAAATAATTGATTAATTTAAAAATACATTTAGAAAGATTAAATTAGATTATAATCTAAAAATAATACCCAAAATAACTTATATTTTATGAAGCTACTATATTCTAGCCGCAAGTTGACTCTGTTGGATCTTTAAAAAGAGTTTTGGCTGGAAAGATTACGAGTGGCAGACTATATTACAAAACTTTTGGGAACGATTTGAAATAGTTTATATCAGTTTTCTTTACTCTATTAGGGGAAATGATTTTAAACAATTTGATAAAAAGGTTTTCGGTTGTAGATGGGTATTACAAATCTTTTTGCTTAATTTTGAAATTAAGTGATGTCAATTTTCTATATATTCTACGAGGGAAAAAGTTAAATTCATAGACTACTAATGTGTATTGATTCAAATTTGTAATGATGGATTCTTATGGTTAGGTTTTTTTAGCCTGTTTAGCAGCCTAAGTGTCTTATAAGTGCTATGATCTTGTCGGAGTGTTTTAAATGCGTAAAATTTCCCATCATCAGGAATCGAATGGATCTGTAATAAAGTTCTTAAAATTTACAATTTATAAGGACAACAAGAAATTTTTAAGAAATTTTTTTTAAAGAAAAAAATATCTTCAAATAACTGTAAGTATAATTAGCATAGTCCTTTTCTTAATTAAAATTTATTTATTTTCTTGATTAAAATTTATTTCTTTTCTTATTTAAAATTTATTTCGTTTCTTATTTAAAATTTATTTATTTTCTTAATTGAAATTTATTCCTTTTTTTCTTAATTGAAATTTATTCTTTTTTCTAGTGTCTTTTTTAAAAAAAATATATATTGTTCTTTTTAAGATATTTTATTAAATTTGTATTAAGCAATAATTACGAGCAATTTAAACTTAAAATAAATAGAACATTATGATACCTCAATATTTAAAAGTTATTTTAATATTGCACTTTCCTAATCGAAGATAATTGTGATACACCAATATTAATATAGAACCTTTTAACAATTTTTATTGAAAAAGATATACTGACCATTTTTTTTATTTAATAACGATTAAATATTAATTTTATACAGGTAAAAATAAAATATATATTGATCAAAAAAATACTGAAAATTTTATAAAAATATTGCAGTTTTAGATTAAACTCCTTTTTCAAACTTGAGATTTGGTAATCATTTTAGCTTATTTGTATTTTTTTGATCAATTGAAATTAACGGATACGCAAGAAAATGCCGGTATATTTATGCATTTAAATAAATAGTTTGGCCAATGTATAATCATATCCTTGCAATGTAATAAGTAGGTATGCAAGATTCATCTATTTGAGCCGATTTAAAAATAACGGGCTTATTTATTCAGAAAAATATTATGCAAATTTTAAAATTTTGCTCATAGATGGCACTAAGGTTTAGATATCTGTTAGTGAAATCTCGAGGCTTAGACATATTATTCTGGCAGATCAAATGGAGCGGTTTTGCATAACTAGTTAAAAATATACTATTCCTTCATAAGAATTTCAACTTATTAACCTTTACTTAAATGCTATTGGGTAACTTAAACATTTTTATAGCTTAGAACACTCCGCCAATCAAGGGACCTTTTGCTTATTTCATGATAAACTTTACTTTAAAAAATACAGGTTATATTTTATCAAGATAGAACTAAATATAATTTTAAAAACCCTTTTTGTTTGTTTTTAGGCCTTTTTGAAAATGTATGATTTTGACACTAGATCTTGGAATCCTGACTATGTGATAACGGAAAAGTAATTTTTTTTATATCTTACTCTGCATTCACAGTTAGCGCGAATTCGCGACAAAGTATAGTGGCAGGGTTAGGCAAATAAGAAATTAAAATTAGATAATTATTTTTGTGTTTGCGATTAAAACATTGATAATCTTGGATATTGTTCTTTATTTAAAAAAATAACCCAAGGCCCGACATAAAATCACATTTTTCTCGCAAGGACGAATCGGATGAAGAATACCGCGGTACCTTGCCCAATTGGAAAAGGATACCTTTCAATATTTTAAGGTTTTAGTTATTAATGATTTGGTCTTCAATTTTTTTAATATTTTCTCCTAATGAAACCTCATTTTAAAAAGAGATATAGTTGGGTCAGTTAAAATCGTAATATAGGACTGAGTTGGTCATCAATATTTTTTTATTCCATTGATGGTTATAGAATCCTTCGAAGTTTAGAATTGAGTACACCACTATGAGATATGCATATCAATAAATTTTACTTATTGCAAGAATTTTATGGCAAAATTAAAATAAATTAAAGGTTATTTCATAATCTTAAAATCAGATCACTAGTAATAGTAATTAATTAAAACCTTATTCAAATAAATATATAGTTACTTGGCCACTCATTCATTCGCTCTGAAAATGGCTTATCCAGGGTATACTAGCATCATGAACTTTTTGCTGGGTAAAGAACGATTCTTTTTAAATGCTTATATTTAATACAGGTTGTACCTAAATGAAAATATTAATTTTTATATTGACAGTTAACTTGATTTATTTTTTGATATCTTTAAGAAACTTCATAATAATATATGGTCAATAGTTTTTTAATATTCAATTTAACTTCTATAAGTATTCAATTTAACTGACCTCCTTTTATAAATACGTTATATTATTGTATGACAAGTATATTATTCAAATAACGTTGAATATTATACCTTTTATAATATTTAAAATATAACAGATTTTATCTCTCTTTCTTAGTTGTTTAGTATTATAATTAGAATATTATTATTAAAGTATCATTTCTCTTTGAATAAATAAATTTTCTTCTCAAAAATATTTTGTAATTATAATGTTATTTTTATAGGTAATAGTCTCATAGACGGGAGATACAATCTGCTCACTAGGGTAAATGAAATGCTATATTAGATGACAGATTTTTTTAAATGTTTGTCATGTCTTTTTATTGTTACAAGTAAGAAAGAAAGAAAAAAAAGATAAAGAAATAAAGATATAAAGATATAAAACCTTTTATACTTGTATAATATATATCACTTTAGCACAAAGGCCAACGTGCCAAGATAAGGGTCTACAATGGCGAGGACGTTGACACCATGTTTATCGATAAAAGAGGGAACCCCGCTAAAACTATGGGCGAATACCTGGTACGTCACCATTCCCTAAATCTCTTTTTTCCCATTACGAAAAAATTATTGAGTGGTTAATTATGGAATCATATGCTCCAAAAAGAGGAACTCTGTGAGAAATCGAAAGATTCAAACTTTAAAACTGGGCTGAAAAGATTAATTGAGACAGCACTTGTGATTGATTATTTAAAATGTTATTTCTAGAATTTAGTGAGCCGGTAATATTCGTGTAAGGAGAATAGAACCTACAATACTTGGAGAGTTGACAACCATCACTGATGTCAACCCATCCGATTTTTAATATTAATATTATAGGAAAATGTCTAAGGGAATAGAAAAAAATATTCATTATTAACATATCATTAACAATTCTATCCGCCATCTTCACAATAATAGCGAATTCATTTTTAACGCTATCGAATGATAATCGATATTCTTAAAAATATGAATGATCGCGGACCGATTTGATATTTTAAAAAAATTCGGTGCGTCCCTAATTATAGGCTACTTTAGTCCATTAGCTTAAAATCTGTTCAAAAACTGAAAAAAAGTTAACCCTACCTCATAAGAACATGATTATTTAAAAAATTTATAATTTCTTAAATATTAATTGCATATTTTTTAGATAGTACTTTTTGCAAATTTTTTTTTATTTCCCTTTTAAATTTGAATAGATATTTTGTGGTGTATGTATAATTCCTACTCTTACTCTTTTCATGAACTTTTTAGGTGTAAAAGAAAGAATCGCATTCTAAAAAGAACGAAAAAAAACACTGTTATACGAATTTTTTAGTTTTATGATTTCTTAAAAATATATAGATGATAGTATGCGAAGGGAACGCGAGCTACTACGAAGTCGGATGCTTGCACTCTTTCCTCGATACCGGGTTATCTCTTTTGAGCTGGAACCACCCTGGATTTGGAGCTAGCACTGTAAATTCTTATATTTTATTTTTACATTTTTCATTGACAATAAAGGAGAAAATTGGGAATTATATTATTGCGCATATATTGACAATTCGAATTGGTATCAGATTAACTTTGACCACTATTATTTAACTTAATTTTTTCCCCCAAAAAATAAACCAGCTTGTGAATTCGGTCAAATCTTTTAAATTTCTGGGCTCTCAAAAGAGTCCTGTTTCTTACTTTCACTTGCGGTTGGGAATTTCGGCTAAAACACGATCATGCCTGATTTGCAATTAATATACAATTTATCACATAAGGTGAATTTATTATGTGCTAAAAAAATAGAATGTTGGATATAGAAATAATAATCCTAAATATATATTAATGTTTGTAACAATGATAGAGTTAAACAAGTTCTGCTTTCTAAATTAAGGAATAAGGATTATCGCCTTTATCCCATTCCTTTGGTAGAAGTAAAATTTATGTGATTTTAAGATTTTAAGATTTTGGAATTTGCTGTCAAAATTTTATATGGATTTTATTCGAGGAATTTTCTTATCACCGTGGGCATATGACAATTGTCTCAAATTCAGAGTTGTTAAACGCTACTTTTAAAAGTAGCGCGCTACCGCTATCGCTATTTGTTAAAAAAAGTAGCGCGCTACCGCTATCGCTATTTGTCAAAAAAGTAGCTCGCTATTAGCTACTATTTTTTAAAAGTAGCTTTAGCTACCTTTTAAGCTACTTTTTATAAATAAAAAAAATTTACAAACAAATTTTTTATTTTTTGCTTATACGTTATTGTATAGTAAATATATATAAAATCAACATTTATAAATATTAAAATATAGTTAGTTTTGATTATAAAAATGTAATAAAAATAAATATTTATGGTAATTTGTTACATTTTAATAATAAAATCATTTCAATAATTATCATCCCCAAGTCTAGAGCGACGATCAGAAAGTATAAGTTTTGCCTTACAAAATAATCTCTCGACACTAGCACTTGAGGTTAAGGGCGTATTTAATCTTTTATACATATTTTTAATATAAGATAGATTATCAATAATTTTATTTGCAAATACATCGTAATCATTTTGAGGGCCAATGCCACAGATCTTCTTTTTAAAGTCCTAGGGTCTAGCCAATGGTCTGTGATTCCCAAATAAGCTCAAAAATATTTAATCAGATCTATTTATAAATATAAATAAGTTTTTACCTTCTGTTATGTGTCTAACTATCTTCCGTGGTACATATATATGATATCTCTGATAACTCTACTATTAGAGCATCTTTCATAATTTTAAAGTTATCTGCTATTTTATTCATTAGTATCTGGCGGCATAAAATTGTTGTACCAGGGGATAGAGTTTCATGATAAATGATGGATTATCAACAAAGGACATTGGTTGAACTGTATAAATTATAAATTATAAAATCAACAATAATTTTATCAGCCAATTTCTGAGAAATATTGTCATTTGCATTATTAATTAATTTGGTTTGAATTGAATTATTCTTTTTGGATGTAGAGTCGCCTATGCCAAAATTATTTAGATGTTTCTCCATTTCCTTAAAACTCATGATCAGTCTTATAAAATAAATATTATTAAAATGTAAAAATGACAATTTACCTTTAGGTGTTTTTTGAGGGTATAGCTACTGGATTGATTTGAGGAAATATTTTTTTTTACATTTTAAACAAATAAATTTGAAAACAGTTTTGGTTATATATTTTTTTAAAAAATTTTCAAATCTAAGGAATGGGAAATTTGTATTATAGCTATTAAGAACATTTTCTTCTCTGGTATCTTTCATTTCATTAATATCATTGTCTGAATCACTTTAAGCGATTTGGATATCCATAGGCGATGACATTTTAAATTATTAACACGTGATTTAGGTTTATAATACAAATGAAAATATAAATTACAAATTGAAGATATATTTCAATTTCTAAATTAAATTATAAATCATAAAAATTATAATTAGTTATGATATTATATATAAATTTTCATGTTTATACTTTCCTTCATTATTATTTTTAAAAGTAGCGGCTACTTAGCTACTTTCAAAAAAAGTAGCTCGCTAAAAAATTAAATAATTACAAAAAAAGTAGTCGCTATTAACTATAGCTACCAAAAAAGTTAGCACTAACAACTCTGCTCAAATTGTTCAAAATAGGATTATTTACAATGTAATTTTGGATGGAGACATTTTCTATTTATTATGATTGAAATTACATTTCTTCTAAATAATAAATTATACTTAAAGGCAATTCTGAAATTTTGCATTAAATTATTTGTCATTGTTTCATTACATTTGGATAAAGTGGGATTGACACTTTACATGGACTATACACTCCTTAAACTACTGATGAAATACTACCCTAAAGCTCGAAATATGTCATAATTACAATTTTTTTACCGCCAGAAAATATAATTATATTTACTAAAGATAAACAATGCGAAAAGCACGCCTATTGGTTCAAAAATGTAGCCTGTTTATGGAAAATTCGGAAAATATAAATGATTTCGCTAACTTATTAATTTGTAGGATGATTGCATGTTGTTTCTGCACTCCTATTTTGCTTTCTAACTTTGATGAAAAATTAAAACTTATTAAAAGTTAGATATGAAATACGATGGCTCAAACAAGATTAAGTGTTATTTCACCCCTTATTGATATAGATAAATCTTCAGCTTTGTCAATTAATTTAGATGGTTTTGGTTCTACTTTTTATTATGGTATCTACACTACTAGATGAAACTTAATATAATAATAATGAATATTTAATTATTTAGTATTCGTTTTCTAATAATAAAAATTCCTCCTTTTGTAAACTATTGAATTAATGATTTCGAATATTTATAAATACGAAGCTTTTATTGATAATTTAACATAAGTAAATAATATTTTGGGAAAAATAAATGAAAAATACGTTAATTATACATGTATAAGAATTAAAAATGTAAATATGTTAAATAAACCCAACTTTCTACATCAGGAAGCTTCTTTAGTTTATTCTCCAAATTTTTCTGAAATACGGGACAAATAAAACACTGTTAGCTTTCCTTTTAAACGAATCTATTCTCGGTGGGCAGGGTTGCCAGACTTTCGATGTTGGCGTAAACCTCCAGATTTTTTTTATCCGTGATCTCGCTAAAATACCTCTGCTATTATTAATTTTAATAAAGTAAAATGCAACATTGCAATATCTAAATATCTGGAATTCCACTTATTTATATATTAGAAAAGATAAAAAAAAATAGTTCAAATGCAATTTGTAAAATATGCAATACAAAATTTAATATCAGCTATGGGTCCACGATGTAAAAAATATGCAACATTCGACCTAGTTATTAGTAGGGGCAACCTTAAATAACGTGGTTAAAAAATTTCTATTCAAAATTTTGTTACAGTGGAAATGTTTTCAATAATGCATAAATTAGCTACAACTTTAAAACCCCAAGTTATTAATAAATTTTATGGCTTGGTTATAAGACTAGTTCTTATAATATGAGGACCATGATAAAATCGCTCATTTCAATTCAAAGAAGCGAATAAATTTATTATAACAATCATTTCTATTTTTTAAAAAATACGAAATGATACTTTATATAAATTCAAATTTGAGAAATATCAATTTTGATATCGAATTAGATTAATTATTTCAGGATTATTGCCTTAACCATTCATCGAACAAAATGATAATATATCAAATTAAGTTCACGATAAGGGTACTTTTTTCAAAGAACTATTTTTGAAAAATATGTAGAAGAGACCGGGGATCTTATGAGCCCGAGTTTCTTGTTAGCCTTAGGGCTTTCCTAGAGTTTTAATATAATATCCAAATAATATATAATTACATTATGCATGTGTGGCTTTAATTATTTTATATCGGGTCACATATAAAATTTTTATAATACAATATATGATTCATACCGTCAAAAACTAACTTTTTTAAATGTTGCAATTTATCAAAAATAGGTTTAATTATCCAATAACTATCTTATATCAAAAATTAAACCCTATTCTATATAAAATTATTCTTTATTTGGAAAAAAATATGTTTAAACTACCATAAAATTAAATTTTTCTTACCATTTTTAAATTTACTTTTGCTTTTGAATATGGTGAGAAATTATATTAGAAAAACGAAACAACTAAAAATGAGAAAATCATGAATATATTTAATGAAAATCCGTTCTTGCTAACCGTTATGGAGAAAACAAACCTAAGTTAGGCAACAGTAGAAAGATATAGATCAAGATTAATGAAACAACAAGATTTTAAAATGTCTACATTGAGACAAGTATTCAAGAAAGAGCAAGAAACTATATTCTGCAATTATCTAATAAATGCATCAAAAATGTTTATGGGTCTTTATCCCAAAAATTTTTATTAAATATACATATGTTTATCTATATTTTAATTTTTAGATTCTAGAATTGCCTACCAACTTGCATGTAATTATTTAATTAAAGTTTCTGAATCCTGGGAAATTAGAAAATTTGCAGGAGAAGATTGGTTAACAGGATTTCTCAAAAGAAATCCTCTGATATTAATATCCTGAAGCCCAAGTATAGTAAGAGCCACGATAAAAAGAATGTGGAAGAATTCTTTATTAATTTAAAACAAGTGTGAAGCCCAAATATAGTAATAGCCACGATAAAAAGAATGTGGAAGAATTCTTTATAAACAAGTGATTGATGAATATGGATTTTCAGCATCTGATGTATATAACATGAATGAAACAGTTAAATTATTTACATTCAGCTTAAATTATCTTGCTTAATTTTCATAAAAATATGTTATGACTTAAATATATTCTTTTATAATATAAATTATGTTAAAAAGTATAACTACCTTAAATATATAATTACATTTTATCTTGATAATCAAATTATTGCTTTATTTTCATATAAATATATTAGGCCCTACAATTGTACAAAAGCCACCTAAAGGGTAGCTGTGATGGGTGAGCGTTAGGTTGGATCAGTTTACCTCAGGTGAAAGAGAAACATTAATGATACTTGCAATAGCAGCAAATGCACTAGGATTCAATATCACTCATGTTTATATCCCCAAAAAAGTATTATAACCATTACCTCAAAGATAGACCTATAGATTCAATTGGGATATCAATTGGCTCCGGTTATATTAGAAGATGATTTTATATATTTTACAAGGTAACAAGCCTACCAAAGAAACCAAAGAAACCAAAATTTTAATGATATTAGAATCATATTTCTCGCCAGTCTTTAAGTTCAATAAAATTTTGTATTATCAATAATATAATTCTATCAGCCTTACCACCACATTGCACTAATAAGTTGCAACCACTAGATAAAATGTTTGAATCTTTAAAAAAATATTATAATTCATCAATTGATGCCTGGATGAGAAATAAATCTATTAGCTACTCAGTTTCGATCTCGGGTTGGAAAATCATAGTGGATTCCAGCCAAAGTAATAAAACAGATGCGTCCTATATCATGTCTAGTGAAAAGAGAAAATGGAGGAGACATTCAGATCGCTTAAAAACCAGAGTAGATAATAACTTAAATTATTATTACTGAACAAACAAAACAAATATGGACAATAAGGAAACCCTAATAGTCCCGACGACAGCTGTACTTCGACAGCAAACCCTTCGTTCTCTTCTATTCTTCCAATTTTTTTTACCTGTTTATTTTATTTTATTTTTTTATTTTTTCAGTAGATAGTAATTTGGTAACATTGTTTTTTAAACCTACCACAAATCTATCTCTGAACATAATATTTACCTCCACTTTTGTTTTGTCTTACAAATCAACTAATATTTATTTAAGAAAAATCTATCATCTATATATATAAAATAAATAAAAGGAAATGATAAAAAATAACTTATATATTACAAAATGGTAGCAAAAATTTATATTATTTAGAAAAGTAATATTAGAATATTCAATTAACAATACTATAAAATTAGAATATAACAGACCTTGACACCTTTTACCAATAGGAAAGTGCATTTAATATGCTATATTTTACTCACTATTATAATAGGGTGAGCCATTTCCCCAAACGGAGTTGACATTCATTGACGGAGTCGTTAAATACGCCTTGAATGTTTTGAAGTTTCAAGAGTCCAAACTTATATTTTATTCCTGGTCAATCGGATGCTTCAGCGCCTCTTGGGCCTCCATGCGTTACCACGGGAACAAAGCCCTAGTTTGTGCAACTATTTAAATATATATTATTTTTTTTAACTTATCTGTCTTTTTTTAAAGTAATTCATTTTAACCTTAAGAGTTATTTATTTTTTGACTAAAATCGACGATTATAGTATATCCTGTTCACTCCTCACTACATATACTACATGGGAAATTTTATAGTCAAAATAATTGGTATCTTTATTTTAAATTGTTTTCTATATATAGTATTTTATAATTATTTAATTTAACTTCTAATATTATGCAATTATATTGACCTCAATAATATAATATTAAATGTAGGAAAGTTATAATATTACAAATATAATATTCAAATTATAACCTTTTAAAAATAAAAGATATTAAAATATAACATATCTTATTTCCCACCAAATTCAAGTTCATCTATTAATTTTTTTTGGCTTTCGTTCCCTCGTTGGATATCGGGTTTGAATTCCATCTTGACTTGGTTCCATTGTTTCTACTTCTCCTAACTTTATATTGTCTTCTGTTATTATTGATTTGGGTTCAACTAGTTCTTCCCTTATTCGTAGTTGGTCGGCATGTTTTCCTACGATTTTTTCGGTTTCTTCTTCCCTTTTCCAGGGTTTTCCCCTGGTATACAGTAACCCCTAGTATATTATTTCTGCGATGTTTTTGACATCCAATACAGCTAACTAGTTTTTCGATATCTTTATCTAATTGTTCCCACTATATATAATGTCTCGTAATGAATTTCATTGATGTAAAACCCGGATGTCCCGTATGCAATATATGTAAAACTCTTTTTTGAAGTGAGTACGGAATGATTTATCTACCATTCCAAAAAAATACCATCATCATTTTCTATTTCATCCATACATGTTCTAAAAGTTTGTATTCTGGTGCTTGATTTTGTATATTTGTACCATTTATTAATATTTTTACTCTTCTTAAAATTGGATCTTTTGCGGTTTCATCTTGATAGAGTTAATGTGTCATAAGTAAGATTTCTTATATATTTCTGTTTTATTTTCGCTTGTTATTCTATCATCATTTTTCTCTATTGGGTTTCGCGATAAAGCATATGCAATTTATTAGCGCCATTCTTGTACATTATAGCATAATCATATTAGTTTATAAGCCCAACGTAATAATCTTTGGTTTGTTAATGAGCTTAAATCTCAGTTGTTACCATATATCTTTATTAAAGGTTTGTCGTCAGTTCGTATTTTAAATTTTCGTCCATACAAATAGTTATGAAATTTTTCTACGCCATTTATTATTGCTTTTGCTTCTTTGTCTATTGTAGAATAATTCTTTTCAGCGTTTTGTAAAGTTCTTGAGGTGTAAGCTATTGGAAATTTGTTACCATTATCATATTTTTGCATGAGTAAAGCTCCAAAGATGCATCTGTTTCTAGTATTAACTCGAGGTCCAGTTTATAAAATTGTATAGTATTTTGTTCTGTTACTATTCCTTTTGCTTTTTCAAATAATGTATCATCTTTTTTAGTCCAATTCCATTTAACATTTTTACTAGTTTTATTGTGTAATTCGGCGATGATTCCATGTAAGTTTGGTATGAACCGTGTATAATAGTTTAATATACTTAAAAATGATTTTATGTCATGTCTATCTTTTGGAGTTGGATATTTTTGCATTGCTATTATTTTATTTTTATCTGGGTGTATTCCATTTTGATCTATTATGTATCCTAAATATGATATTTTTTCATTCATAAAATTTATTTTGCTTGTTTTGGCTTTTAATCCCGTATTTTGTAATTTTTTGAGGACCTGTTTTATATTCACTACATGTTCTGTATCATTTTTTAATGTGATTATAACATCGTCTAAATAAACTGCTGTATTTTTACAGTCAGCCAGTAAATCGTCCATATATCGATGAGATACTATTGGTGCTGTAGCTATACCAAAAGGTAATCGTAAATAGCGAGAATATTACATTTGATGTTACCATTGTTAATAATTCTTGCGATTCTTCGTTAATGCTCATTTGTAGATATGCGTCTTTGAGATCTAATGTTGTATATTTATTTCCATTAGCGATCTTTGCGATTAATTCTTCAAACGTTGGTAGAATATGATAGTCTTTTAGTAAAAATTTATTCAATGTTACTTTGAAATCATCACATAATCGTAGTTCACCTGAAGTTTTACGTACCACTACCATTGGAGTACTGCGGGTTACTCTTGTTGTTGATGGATCTATTTTCTTTATTATGTTATTTTCTTCCAAACGTTTCAGTTCATTTTCAATTTCTACTTTTAAAGGTAACTGTATTCTTCTATTGTATTTTCTTCCAATTGTAGTTTTACTGGTTCGACATTTTATATTAATCCTAATTTATTATAAAACACTGGAGCGAATTCTTTATATAGTTTGTCAATATTCACATTATCATTATTATTATATTTATTGTTGATCATATTGATTTTTATATTTGTTGGTAACGATAGATCAAATTCTATAGTCCATGGAAATCCAAATAGTGCTGCATCATTTGTTTTTGTAACTAATAACGGAATCCATTTTATTTTATCATCTAATTGCACTATTACATAAGCTTCGCCCATAATTTTTATTGAATTGTTTCTATATATAGTTGGAGCTCTAGCCATTCTAAGTTTTGGCCTCCCAATTTTATTCCATATTATTGCATTAATGATGATGGTTACTGCTGAACCAGTATCATATTAAGAAATCATCATCGTCGTTACTATTGTAATTTGTAAGTAAACCTTTCCTCTAGTTTTACAATACACGGCAAAGTTGTTTGATTTCTTACATTGATTGCACGTTTTTCCCTATACTGCACAATTTCGAATAGTATGAAAACGATTACAAAAATAGCACGCTTTTCTTGAATTATTATTATTTGTGTGATAGTTATTCCTTGCATTGGTTTTCTTTTTACATATGTTTTGTTATCATTTTGATAGTGTCGATTATCATTATACTGTCGATTATTTTTATCATTTTGATTTAGTCGTTTATTATTATCATTATATTTGGTCGTCTCTTTGATTTTATAAATCATTTTAGTAGTTTTATTTATTTTTAAGTCGGCTCGTTCCATCGCTAAAGTCATTTCTATTTTTAAGCTTAATGGTTGGTCTTCGTCTTTAGTATCTGAGTATCTTAAACGTAATTCTTTATCTGGTTGTGACATCTTTAGTCCAGCGATTAATTGACGAATTCTTAGTTCTACATTATCTTCAAAGTTGCATCTTCGGGCTAATTCCTTTATTGTTTTTTAAATAACTCAATACGGATTCTGTAAGTCCGCGATATCTAATGTAATCAATTCTAGATGCCAGAACAGTTCTTTCATCTTTATAAAGTTGTTTTGCAATTTTGTATAGATCTGCCCATACCACATCATCAATTTTTATTGGAAACAGTAATTTTTTTTATATCAGTTATAATATTTATTCCTCCATAAGCTATAAATTATTTTTTCAAAGTGGCGTCAGTTTGAGGAATATTTAACATTCAGCATATATTTGATGTAGTTTATTCTATATAGTCGTCAATAGGACATTCATCTTTTTTAAATTCATGTAATGTAATCTTATAATTTCTAACAGATCTATTATTTTTATTTAAGAAAACAAAAAAAAGTATACAATTCTATTTAATATTTAACTTGGCCGAAGACCGCATTTTTTTTTTATTTTATTTGGTCGCTAATTTTATAGTCAAAACAATTGGTATCTTATTTTAAATTGTTTTCTATATATAGTATTTTATAATTATGTAATTTAACTTCTAATATTTTGCAATTATTGACCTCAATAATATAATATTAAATATAGGAAAGTTATAATATTGTATTACAAATATAATATTCAAATTATAACCTTTTAAAATATATAGGATATTAAAATATAACAGGAAATACAATGGTTTATCGGTAATACGAATTGAGCTTATAGATTTAATTTAAAAAAATTTTGCTTTTGAATTCGAATCAGATTTTAGACGCCGCCTTCGACGATATATTGCCCCTCGCTATCAATCGAATGCCCACAGCAATAGGTTTATAAATTAAATATACGGGCTAACCCAGATCATAGCTCGAGTTTCGGGGGGGGGGTTTGTCATGTAATGTAAATTAAAATAGTTTTTTACATAATTTTTCCCTTTTTTATACTCTACTTCTATATAAAAATAGATTCGAAAACTCGTTTAAGAATTCATTCAACAAGTGTATGTTGAAAAACAAACATATTTTTATGTGCGTAATTTATTTGCGTTCGAAGAACTTGACTCTCCATTCGAATTTGCTCTAATTTCAAATATCCTATATTACTAATTAGCATGCTTGGGGTGACGATTTACGACATAATTTGAAATTCATAACTGGTGCATAGTACATACAATACAGTCAACCCCCCCCCCCTCATTCTTTAAATCAATTTCAAAATAAAATAAATTTAAACGGAGTATATTTATTTTAGTTCATTTTAAAATAAAATTGTTTTATATATTTTATTATTTTTTAAAATTATTTGAGACAGAGAACTTGGTAACCTTTACCATCCGAAAATATATCGATCTTAGGACGTTACAATTTTTGATAAAGTAATGATAAATACCTTAACATTTTTATCAATTGCAATCAAAAAAAGTTATCATAATCTAATTACTTGCACAAGACGATGGTATTCGAGTATTATGTATCTCTTCCTTTATTTAATTAATATTGTTCGTGTTAAATAAAGAAAGTAATCTATTTTTTGATTTTTTACATCATGAAATTTATTTTAAACACATTTTACATCTTAAATATTGAATCACAACACCAACCAAAATGCTTAAATAATTAATACCCCCCCCCCTCTTTGATAAATATGGTTTCCTTTTTTTTTTTGCCACGATTTAAGAGTTATTTTAATGATATTTTTTAGAAAAATAGCAAAGTTTTTGAAGAAAGCTAATGAAAGTGGAGTTTCAGCATAAATATTTTATTTATATTTAGCCGATTGAAAAATGTTACAAACAAAATTTAAAAAATAGATTTATTAGTATTGATTACATTTCCTAACTCCAAAAAAATTATAATATAAAACTCTTAATATCATTTAACATTAAACATAATTATATACAGGAATCCATCCAAGAATATAATCTTTATCAGGCGCACTCAAGATGAAATAATGAACATGATGTAAGATATAGAGAGGAAAATATTATTAGAGTTTATATAAAAGCTCTAGAGTGATGCTTTAAAGGTCTCTATTTTATATCCACCTGTTACCAAATAATAGCACTAATATATAAATATTTAATAAATAATTATCCAAAAATTAACACAAATTTATTTATTTAAATTATTAATCACAATATTTTACGAAAATACAAGATTCCTTTAAACAAACAACGGATTATAAATTTTTTCTAGAATTTTATAAAACATTACATTTGCATACTAAATACTTTTATAAACAACTAACTAATTATATTATAATAAATCTTTTCTATACCTTTATATCATGCATACTAAATAATTTTATAAAAGTCATTTTTGTTCAATTTAATACATCAAAATAACATATTCAAATTTTTCTTTCTCCTTCACTTTCAACACCCCTTCCCTTGGATACCTCCATCTAGGGAGCTCGATTCATCTCCCCTGGATTCAACACTCTTGGGCACCTCATTCTGTATAGCTGTCTCATTACTGACTTTCATGACTTGATTCGGACAGTATCTCATTAGATGATCCTCACCCCTCACAAGCTCAACATTGCCTTGATCTAGGCTGATCATATGGAACCATTCTGTCCTTCGGTCTTACCTTCTTGTCGAACGCGTTTTAAGGAAAAAAGTGGATATCATTCAGCATCTCTCCATATAGTCTCGTTGCTTCTTCCCTTTCTAATCATAGCCAGTTTCTAGAGATTAGTGATCCATCTATTGTCCGTATTTCTATACGCACGATAAAATTTCCCTCTCTCGTACACGTAGCTATCTATAAAATTACTATTGCATATAAAGTTAACCCTTCTCTTCGTTTATTCCTCTGTCTTATAGTCTTTCATTTTGTTTTCAATAAAAACCTCAAACTCTATGATTTTGCTTAACATTTCTTTTTTCAATAAAAACATCAAATCTTGATCCCACAGTTTTTCATCACATCAAATTTGCTTTCATCCCAAAATTTCGTTTTTCGATAACATCAAATTTTATTTCTTCCCCCCAAAAAAACTTCTAAATCTTGTTTAAATTACTTTTTTATTTGTTTCACCTATCTCGGCCATGTACCTCGCTGTCCTATTTCTACCTCCACTTTCTTTCCTCCCTTATTTTACCTTAATACATTCTTCCCCCATTTAATAGGCCCATCAAATATCATACATCACTACCCAAACAAGACTTCTTATTGGAAACTTCTCAAAATTTATTTGTTCTTTCTTATTACCTTTTTCTTAGAAAATCTAATTCAGATCTTCTTCCTAAAGATATTTCCGCGATTGTTATATGCTAACAACGATAACCACCATCTCCATATTTTTCTTTTTTTTAACCAACTCCTAATTATCGCTACCATGCGCTCAGTTTGCCCAATGCTCCTTGGGTAATTTGGTGATGAAAATAAATGTTTAATCTTCCAACTATCACAAAATCTACCAAATGCTTTACCTTTAAAAGCTGGATTTCCATATGATACTTAAGTCTTCATTAATCCATATTACATACAAAATCTTTTATCTTATCCAAAGCTACTTTTGTGGATAACATGCTATCAATCTATCCATTTTGAACCTGCATCTACCATGATAAAATATATTTTCTTCTCTTATTCTAAAAAAATTTACGTGTATTCTTTTGGATGGAATGTCCATATCTGGCCATTTATCTTCTTTGTTTCTTGCTGGAATATTAGTTCACATGTTACATGTATCGCAGCCCTTAGCTACTTCTTGTATCTCGCTATTCATTTTGGGCCACCAAATACATTCTCGTGCTTTATTTTTTATTCTTTCTATGCCTTGATGTACTGCATGCACCGTTGCTAAAATATCTTTTCATAATAAAACAGGTATAATTAAACGATATCCTTTCATTAGACAATTGTCTTCTATATTTAATTCACTCTTAACGTTTTTGAACGATTTATCTTAGCTTTTCCATTCTATATCCCCTTTCAAACATGCTTTATTTCTTTATCTTATTTGGATATCTTATCGACTAGCTCAAAAGTTAACGGCTTTTCTCTTGTATTTACCTTCAAAGATTTTAGAATGTTATTATTTAATTCATCTTCTGAGAAAAATTGCTCTAAACTACTAATTCTGGGTTCTATTTCTTTTTTTTCTGTTTCCTAAACAAACAACCTTGATAAAATATCTGGTAAACAATTTAGTCTACCCGATCTGAACATTTCAAAATCGTAACTACCTACCAATAACCATTTTTCAGCCTGGGTGAAATCATTAATTCTTTATTGTCCTTTTTGAACAATTCCCTTTATTACATGTCAAGCACGTTACTTCCTTTACTCCATAAACACCTTTTTCATATTAGCTGCCAGACTATTTTCTATCATTATATCTAATACTTTAATTAATCTCATATTATGCTCTTGTTCTGTTCTACCTGATATCAATACGTCATCTAAATAATACATGATTCCATTTAATCCTTGGAACATAGCCGCCATGGTTCTTTGAGAAATTGGGGCTGATACCTTTAACCCAAAAGGAAATCTGCAGAATGCAAACAAATCTCTATGTGTAATAATTGTTAATATCTTACTTGCTTTCCCATTTACCTTAATTTGTAAGTAGGCGTTAGAATAATCTATTTTCGAAAAAATTATTGCTCGCTTTAAATTAGCCAATAATTGCTCTATTCTAGGTAACGAATATTTCACAGTCATTTTACAGATACCATATAATCTACGCATAGTCTTAAACTGGTCCTGTTTTCTTATAGAGACCAATATGTCGCCCATGCACTATGAACTATTGGTCTTATTATACCTTCTTTCAGCCATTTGTCTAGTTCTTTATCTATTTCCTTTATACAATAAAAAGGTAATCTTCTCATGTCTACCTGATTCTTAATTCCATGTTGTTTGACTTCAACTGCAGTTGCCTCTATTGACCTTATATATCCTAATAACTTATTCTCTTCTTTGTTAATTTTATATCTAATCAAAAATTCTGATGTCTATTTCAGTTTATCGAGAACTAAATCATGTATCATCTCTAAATTAGGTAACTCAATCTTATCATTCACGCTTTGTATTATTTCTCCATTTACATTGTTGTTCTCACATACATTCAAACTAAGATCACCAATTATCATCAGGACTTATATTTTTAATTCCAACCTAAGATAGGCTCCATCTTTAATGTTGTAATCCATAATTATTTCCTTATATCTAACAATTATATCATATAAAAATCGAAAATCTTTACAATACTACCGTCTAATTGTCTAGCTTTTATTCTCTTTGCTATAAAATTTTCTTCTGGAAATCTATTATTAAAATCTTTTACACTCATTACATTGCTCCTGTATCTTATAAAAAGAATGTTTCAATTTCTCCTATTCTTATCTTAATCCTCGGGCATTACTTCTCTTTATTATCTTTTCTAATTTAATTTTACACACATTTCTTGTTTCAATTTCTCTTTCAATAATCATTCCATTTTTAAAAATATCTATATTTACATATTTCAAATCAATTATATCAGTTTCATTTATACTTAAATCCCTAATTAAACAAATCAGACACACTATTAATTTTATCATTTTTATTCTTAATCTCATTTAGTCATCTATTACATTTTTCTTGTGAATGCCCTTCTTGTTCTCATTTAGAACATCCCAAAATATTGTCAAAAAACCGTCTACAATTCGTATTTATGTGACCATTACGTCCACATTTCGCGCACTTAAGCTGCCTTGCTAACTCGCATTGTTTCGACATTTATCCTTGTTGCCCACAACTAAAACAAATAATATGGCTCATGTTTGTATCCTGTCTTAAATTATCTTTTTCTCTTATAAACTTTTTATCTTCCTCCACAATTTTTTCTTCAATTCTTATATATGACGTATTTCTACCTATGCTTACTCCTAAAGCGAAACTTAAAATAATGATGACTATTAAAATCTATACATATTATTAACTGAAATATCTACAAAATTAAACTGATTTAAATACATCTATAAAGAGTTGACCCAATGAATTAACATTAATTTAACTGATTTTATAAAAAATAATTGAATATAAATAAATAAGCTTAAACTTAATATATAAAATATATATAATATATATAAATTGTTGTCCTTTTTATTATTTTATTAATAATAGAATTGGTGCTTTTATTAGACTGAAGATTTTCAAGGTATTGTTCAATTAATTCGGCACCAGTATTTTACCTGGTTACCAAATAATAGCACTAATATATAAAAATTAACACTAATACATTTATTTAAATTATCAATCACAATATTTTACGAAAATACAAAAATTTCTTCTCCTTTAAACAAACAAAAACTGATCTGATTATAAATTTTTTCTAGACTTTTATATAACATTACATTAACATACTAAATATTTTTATAACAACTAGCTAATTATATTATAAATCTTTTCTCGACCATTATATCACATTTGCATACTAAATAATTTTATAAAAATCTTTTGCTCAATTTAATACATCAAAATAACATATTCAAATTTTTCTTTCTCCTTCACTTCTAACAGTCTGATATGGGCGGGTTTTTTCCCACCTGTTCATATGGGCCAGTGTGGGTAGGCGGGTTAAACATGATAAAAATTGGGCAGGCGATTGAGCGGGCTATGTTTTTAAGACTGGGCAAGCAAGCGGGCAAATTTGAAATATTTTTTGGGCGAAAAAAGAACGAGCTTATATTTAGTAAAAAAAAAAATTTCTTATAATATTGCATATTTTATAAGTTTAAGTTAAAATTATTAAAATAAAATAAATGAAGAGCGAAATTAACCAATCAAATCATTTTAAAAACTTTGGGCGAGCAAGGTAGATAAATTTTTTAGATGAATAAGAGGGCGGGTGAGTTTTTTTATAATCTATGGGCGGGCGGGTTCTCGGTTTAATAACCAGCCTATTGCAGACCTCTATACCCTATATTTTGTTGTTTATAATTTTCATATTTTTAAAATAAAATTCAGAGATGGGGACGTTTCTTCTAACAGGATCAACAATTTAGTGCTTAAAATTTTCAAATATAGGTAAGAGATGATATGATATACAAACATCGTTTCTTAATACCTTTTTTTTTGTTGATTGAAATATACCAGCTACTTTAATAGACTTTATATAAGATTTGGATTTGGGGAGAAAAAACGAATAAAGAATAATAGGTGGACTAGAATTGGTATTGCCAAAATCCATGGGAACTCTTACCCCATAGGTTATTCAAAGTTTAAAAAGAAATGTCAATCTATTTAGGAAACAAATTAAAAAATTAATTTTTAAAATCTTCGTAATTTTCACTAATGCCTTGCTTTTTTGTGAAATTCCTCATTTAAAAAGTAATTTTTCCTTATGTTGTCACATAGAAATCATTCTACTTTATATCAAGGTATATTAAATCTTTAAAAATGAGCAATTTACTCAGGATGAATCAATCACGAAGCGGTTCTTTGACGACTAAAAAAGATAATAATCATACATATATTTTTTTTCTCTCCAATATATTCACGGATCTTTTAGGTATCCTCACGTCTTCACCTCTGACGTATTGTGTGCCGTGCGTAGCGTGCTATGTAATCAAACGGATAGCCAAAGTTTATATTTTGTTTGCCCATATTTTCCCCCTAGAATGGATTTGTGATATCAAAGTTATCGGATTACATAACCATCTAATCATTTAGATAGTTCTACATTTTTGGGCAAAATTAAAATTCTCTAATTATAACTTAATGATGTAACGTTTATCTTCCTTTCCCCGCAATATAAGTAATAAGGAATGAATTGTTTACAAAATCAAACGAAAAATTACTTTTCTTTTCCTTAGTTCCGATATGTTTACCCTTTATGTATAAATTTATTTTTTAAAATTCAATTTATTATTTATTTACATGGACGAATCATGGAAGATGCAGTGACCTCAACCGTTTACAAAGGCTCGTTTTCTACCTTGACCCCTGATCTTGCGCAATTAAATGGAAACCTCTATTCGATTGGCGAATTTCCTTCTCCTTTAGGTGATTTTTATCTATTGCTGCTTAATGTCTTTTAACTAACCCTTAAAAATAAATTATTATAACAGCCATGACTACCCGATCCCCCCCCCTCCGATTCTCCTAAAAATATCACATAACTGGTTTCTTTATGGAGGTGTGCCAAGCTATCATATTATATATTCTGGTTTTTTGATAATAAGCAGATATAAATTAGAGCATGTTAATGAATATAATAATACGGTATATTATGTCTAGGGTATATTGGGTATAAGGGCTATATTATTTTTTTTAAAGACTTGGTTTGTCGTATCTGTATTCCAGCATGTGCCCAGTATCTACCCTATCAGGCAATTTTATCCCGAAATTTTGGGTTAATCTTGATTAATGTATAAAAATTTATCGAAGATCGATACAAAATTTCATGAAATAAATGTCTGAAATTCACAGGATAGATAAATATTTTACATATGCGTGGAATGCAAATCAAATATACCCTACGACATGATGCACGTTTAATACTAAGAGTCGGTGATTGATAATTCACAAGGTTCATTTGACATTTTTTTTATGGCTTCGTTTATCATGCACGCAATTGAATAAATTAAATTATGAAATGAACGTAAATTAATATTTCATTCCAATACTCGAATGCAAGTTTACTATGAAATAATATCATTTGAAAAAATATTATAGGTACAGATTTGCGAAAGGAACAAAAACTGGATTTCGCGTTGGATTTGGTAAATCATAAATTTTTTTTAATTCAAAATATTTATTTTTAGCAAACTATATTTTAACGGTTTCATTTTAATTTATCGTCGCTTAATGCTTATCACAATTTTTATTTTATTTTTTAGTTAGTTTTTTTAAAGATATTTTAAAGATGGAAGAGCGTAATTAGGAAAAAGAGGAGAGAAAGAATGAAAAAAAGAAAAAATTTAATTCCAATTTTTTTAAACAAAAACTCTTATACATTGAAACCAGCAAAATTAAATCAATAAAGCGTTTTAAACATAGATATTTTGGAAAGTTTTATTTATCGTGAGATTGTCGCGAAGGATGTGAGTTGAATATCTGCCTGCTACTATTATCATTTATTGCATTTTCAATCACAACTATTTCTTTTTTTATAGGTAAGAAAATATTTATTCGACTATCAAGGTTCCCACTGCGAACCAATTCCAAAGCATTTCTACATTAACATCATCTCAAAGTTGTTGGAGCCGGAATCCTTGCAAAGTATAAACCCCCCCCCCCCCCCCCCCCAATTTTTTTTGAAAGATTTCGAATTGTATGAAACTTTTTTCCCATTTATACTATATATTACTTTGCGGTTTTTCTTGTTCTGAAGTTGAAAGTTTACAAAATCTTTATTGGGATCTGAGGGGAATTACTTTTGCACAAGATTAGACTAACCTATGTGTTGTTATCTAACCTCTCCATATGTTATTGAAAATTTTTGTAAGAGTCGCTAACGGTGCATTTAATTTTTTGAAATGAGTTAGGTCTAAAAAAGGCTACCACTCAGAGCTCATACATAGTATATGTATCTCAGGATTAAGCTCTCGCTTTTAGACTGAGCGGAATTAGTTAGGCAAATGCACAAAACTAAATATATATATCTCAAATCAAAACTCTCTAACAAAATAATTAATATAGTAATAATGATAGAGAATAAATAAATACATAAATTATGTCTTATTTCCTTACAATAAATATTGATTTTTAAAAAATATTTTATTTCATTTACAGCAGCAATTTAAAAAAAAGTTCTCTCATCTCCAATCGGAAGACATTGTCATCAAAACTAACAATTTTCTTATACTAATAGACTTTTATATAAATGTTCATTTATATACAATAGAATTTTGTTATTTTTATACTACTTTAGCGAATTTACTCTCTATGTTACTTGTTATTTGACTTTATTTTATGAATTAATAATGTTACGTTTGTGTATAATATAATAAGTCTTCATTTCAGTGTTGGGGTTATGGGTACCCGTAGAATTGGGTTAGGAGTAGCGCTACCCCCCCCCCCCCCTCTGAATAATTATTTCGCATTAAAATAAATGGTCTTTCATTTAAAATAGATTTAATAATCTATATAATAAAAGTAATAAATTGAAATAATGTTATTACATTTAAATCTTCGAAATCTTTCATTGAAACCTATTTTATTATATATATATTTATTATATCGCCTTCTTGATAATAATTATCTTTTAAAAATATAAAGATATTTTTTTAATATCCTTGAAATTTTAGAAAATCCTAAATACTCTCTCTATATTTTATATTTGATAATTTTTTCCATTTCGCATTTAATATAAATTTATCTCATTTTATTAGCCTAATTTAAATTTTTTTTGATTAATTATCATGATGTTTAATTATGTGAAAGATAATATTTGGGGAGAAAAGGTTTTTAATTGAATTTATTAAATTTTAACAATCTTAATTTCTTTTGATTTAAGGCGATGTATTATTTTTCATTTCGCATTTAATGTAAATTTTATTTTATTAGCCTAATTTTGTTTATTATTGGGATGATGTTCATGATGTTTAATTATTTGAAGGATAATATTAAGACAGAAAAGGTTTTCAATTGAAAAATTTTAGCCTACAATCTTATTTTCTTGTATTTTTATATATATTATGTTTGATTATTACCCTGATAAATAGAAAACTATATTATAAAATTTTATATAGTTTAGAATTATATTTTTCTTAAAAATCTGCTAAACTTTCGACATTTTTTTAAAACTGACAATCCCCTCTGGCAAAAATTCAGCGGGTGCCCCTGGCTGGGGTAAAATATATTTTCTGTGACATTGAGAAGATTGAGTTCAAATTCTAGAGTCAAATTTTGGGAAAACTAATAAATAATATTCGCTAGACTTAGTTTATAATAATATACATTTTATATTTTTTTATATAAATGTATTTTTTTATATTTTTTTATATAAATGTATTTAGCATTTCTTTTCTTATCAGATTGAAATAGTAATAAAATATTTTAATCTAAAGTTATATTTCAACGATTTTCTTATTTTTTAATCTTTCTTGAGATATGTAATAATAGAATTATTAATGTTAAATTAGGATCACGCTTTTACTTTGCATTTTCATTCATCAAATAATGAAAAGATTAGTCCTTATTTGAACTTTCATTAGGGGTACTATGAGCAAGGCGCTCTTAGTGTTACTTCCACTAGGCAAATATGCTTCTTCCTCATAAAATTTATACATTACCTAAATTCGAAGAAAATTTAAATAAATTCTATTTCACGCGAATAACATTATTAATAGATATTGGTTTGGCTTATATTTTGTTTTTTAAGTTTTATTAATTAGTATTGTAACATTAATAGTTTAACCATATATTTATCGTAGTTATTCAATCGATTCATAAAAAACTCAATTAAACAACAATCAAATTTATATAAAATCAGTGTTGTTAAAGTAGCTCGCTACTTTTTTCAGTAGCGGTAGCTTTAGTGTGCTACTTTAAAAAAATAGCGGTAGCTCGCTACTAATTTTAAAAATAGCCAAATACACATAAGAATTGTTAAAATATATTTATAATTAATTCTAAATCATAGTCTTTTTATTTAATTTAGTTATTTAAATGTCTGAATTATAAATCTATCAAAATAATTTATAATGTCGACGATAGAGATTGATATAAATTAGGCCTTAGAAATTTTTTAAAATATTTCTAAATTTATCAATTTTATGTTGAATTTTTTAAGTAAAATAAAAATATGTGATTTTATTTATAGAAAGTAGACTCCATATAACATATATCGTTTATTTTAAGTAATTTTAATTTCTATATTTAAATAAATTCGGGCTGGATCGGCAAAATTTTTTAAAAAACATTTCGGGCCGGACCGGGTTTGAAAAATTTGGCCCGATACAGATCACCAATTGAAAAAATTTGATACAGATCAAATCGACAAAGTAATTTCCCTGAAAAATGATTATATATTATGGAATAACCTTTTCCTGAATTCGCAAAATATTTTAATCTCGATAAAAAAATTAACATAGGGTATAAATTTTATTTTAAGATGTGCGGGAAGGTTTTATCATTAAACTAGACTAGTGGCTTAACTAGTAAACATTTAAAAGTAATATATCCAACAAATTTAATATCAATGTCTAGCCCAATCCTTAATCTTTAAAATAAATGAATTACTGTTTCTATAATAGCTTTTGAACTAGAAGAGTTTACGTGAAAGTTGATTTTCTAGCCCAGTCCAAACATGGTATACTTAACTGGCCATAAGATATTATTCAAAAATTAAATATTACAATAAATAATTAAGATTTCATTTTATCATCAGACTCAGATAATATTTTAGCCTGGATGTTTAACACGCTTAGAATTAATCACTCATCTATATATTTATAAATTTTATCAAAACATGCTAAAGAATACTTATTTCAAACTTTTCGCATTAACCAATTTTAAGAGAAATTGGTTCAATAGATAAAAAATTAAAGGGTGGTGGCGGCCAGTTGTATGGCCATCTACTTATCCCCTATATAATTTTTATTATAACTTTGAATATATCCTAGCCAGATAAAAAACGCCATCTACTATGGATGATTTTTTTGAAATAAATAATTTTACTATTGAAAATCCTTTAGAGACATTTTTTTAAATCTAAAAATAGTCATGAATATTTTTGAGTATTTTTCTTATATAAAAATATGTATATTAAATTTAATACTGCATTGTATGCTAATGTTGAACGATTATTTTGTCATGACCTATACTTTCTGAACTCTAGACTTGGGAATGACAGTATGGAAACTACGGTCCTAATATTTCAAGCCCGGGCAGAGCAGAACAAATTTTTTCAAACGAATTTTTTTTTATTTGTCCCTAAATAAAAATTATTTGCCAGGCCAGAATTTATTTAAATATAGAAAAATCTAATTTTTTTTTGTTGTAAAAAGAATATTAACGCCTTGTTTCTTACAAGAATTTTAAAATATATCTACTTATTTGTTTTTCTCGGCCTTTATGTTTGAGCTATTCGTTTAAATTCTCATACAATATAAGTAGAATAAATTTTTTTTATTGAAAATATTGACTAGAAAATAATTTAAAAACAAGTTTTTATAACTTCTTATCAAATATAATATACAAAAAATTTATTAAATACTATAATTATATTGTGATTGGTTTTGCCACATACTTAAACCATGAGTAATCCATTTTATTAATATTTTTGAATAATGTTAATATACTAACAAGTAAATAAAATTAAAAAAATTAAAATTAAATTTTATGAAAATTGATATTCAAATATTTGCATAATTTTGAGAAGTTGGGGGGGGGGGTAAAATTTATATTAGCTTATAATGATATTTATGAAAACGATGAAATTTGCGATGGGGAAGGGATTCCCCCCTCCCTCATTGTTACGCGCCTGATGTAGACCGAATGCAGAAATAATATAATTAATTAGTGGTTGTTATAAAGTATATAATAGGTACCGAGATTCCGCAATAAATCATTTACGAACTATATGAATGACTTTAAAATTAGAAAAATATAATATAAGTCTCTTATTAATTGTCCTTTATTTCAGCGGATTTTGTTTTATTAACTTTTATTTAATTAGAGTTGAGTACGAACCATGGGGCTGGATAAGCTTGTGATGATATTTTTCTACGGGTATGGCAATTTGCAAAATTTTTAAAATAGGCCAAACGCTCTTATTACGATTAGTTTAAAAAAAAGATTACACCCTAATTGTCAAAAAAAAAATTTAAATGATTAAATTATAAAAATTTGTGTTGAAACTATAAAAACCAATAATAAAAATAAAATATCTTACAGAATTGATTTTAGTTTTTTATGGCATTAGCTGCATGTTGCAAAGATATTGTCTTGGAGATATAAAAAAAGTCGGTTGCTGTTTCTCACGGGGAGGGGGGCTTATTATTTTTCTCTTTTTTTAATGTTATTTTTATATATTAATATTGTATTTCTGACGGTATTAATTCATTATTTAGACAAAACTCATAAGTTGCTTGATCATATTGAGGTATATACACCTACTTTAAAAATTTCATTTTTTAAAAAAAGAGGAAATAATATTAAGCTTGTATGGAAGGATTTATATTATATATATACATTATCTAATAATAATCTGAACTAAAAATTAGTAGGCAAAATTCTCCTACCCCCCCCCCCCCCCCTTCTCCCATATATAAACGATGTATACAAATTTTAGAAAAAACTATATTAAAATATCTTAAATAAAAAAAAGATACATTAATTTAAAAATAAAAAAATAACCAATCAGAAAAAGAACCAATCTAATATTAATATAAAAAAATAAACAGAAAATAAATTTATTTACTATATTAATATTCTTCTTAAACTGGAGGACATCTTTACACTTCTTCCATCACACAAGTCCTTTTTTTGCTAAAAAATTTCTTTTTTATACCAAGGATTCTTTACGCACTTCGGACAACACCAATTTTTAAATATCCTATTCCTCTCCAAACTTACGAAAAAGGAATAAAGGACTTAACCGAAAAAATAGTAAATAACAGATTCAACGAAACCGCTTGGGCCCAAGCAACTCTTCCAACCAAATTTGGTGGTCTCGGCATCAGATCTCCACATGACTTAGCAATAACTACTTTCATATCGAGTAGTCTCTTGACAAAGCCAATAACCACCGCCCATAATTATAAAGAAGACCTTTCCTTAATCGTGGCTATGGATATTTGGAAAACAAGGATCAATGCTGATTCTCATACCCCAAAAACCCATAGACAGAAAGACTGGGATGCACCAGTGGTTGCTCGCTGCGTTAAAACTCTCTTATCTAGCATGCAATCTACCGACCGCACCCTATTCTCTTCCCTGCTCAATGGTACGGGACATGAGTTTCTTGAGGCCATCCCATCTACCAATCTTCAGCCTCAACTATCCAACAATGAATTTACCCACGCCATCGGCATTCGTCTAAATTGTTCCATCACTCACCCCCACATCTGCTCAGGGTGCAACTCGCCAGTTGACTCGAAGGGTAGACATAGTTTACATTGTCGCTCCTGCAATGGACGATTCATCAGACACAAGCAATGTAATACAATCATCCAACATGCACTGAAATCCGCCCAAATTCCTTC